TTTTGTTTCATCGATTTATATTTTGATTGATTGACTTTTTACCTTGTCGACTTATTTAAACCATTGATTTAATTTTTTGTTCATCGACTTGACATATTATTATATAAACTAATTAAATTCTAAATTGTAAAATTAATTAAAATCAATTCCTTAGATATTTTATCAAGAGATTTTTTTATTAGATTATTAGATTAGCAATAGATGGTTATATATTAGTTTTAAATATTATAAATCAATTTTTAAATAAAAATTAGAAAAATTAAATCATTTTCTTTTCTAACTTAATCTTGTTAAATAAAGATATAATTGTCATTTCAACTCTTAAAATATGATATTTTTCAAAGTGTAATAAATTTGGTATAGATTTCAAATTTTCAATAAGATTTGAGGTATACAATCTAATTTTTCCAAATTTAAACCTAAAAACTATATAGTGCCAATTAAGTTATAGTCCGTGTGGTTTTATACTTAAAAATTTATAATAATAACGAAAAAGGTTTACGAAGTTCTTTACTGCTGATTATGTGTTTCCCAAGGCTCGCAATAATCAATGTGTTACTATTACATTTAGTTTTAATATCATAATTGTGGAAATAAAATAAAAAAAATGAACACCGAAGATATAAGCCAATGGAGTGTGAGATTTAAGACACTGAAGTAGGGAAAGCACAAGTTGTTGTCTGTTTCCGACACACAAGCCCATACTTATTTTCTTTTTTGTTAATTACATTGCCCTCTTCTTGGTGACCTTCTTCATTGCCCTCTTCTTAGTACTCCTTCGAATAAAATTTTAAATTTATCCTTTCCTATTTCACGGTCTCGTTTTTTTAAATCTTTTGTTATTCAAAAATATACATTCACATGATCTTGCACTATAATTTCTTCTTTCAAAATTATACCATAGACGTAATTTTTTTTTTTGTAACTTTACACGTAAAATATTGAGGACGGTCAATATATAACTCAATAATATAATCAAACTTGCCCTTGTTTCAAAAAAAAAAAAA